CAACAAACTAACCTGCTCTTCCATTTGGATTTATCTACCTCTTGAGGAAACAAACATCTAGAAATCATTTCATATGATGCAGTATTTTGTGGATCTAAAGACTAGAACAGCCATAATACAAGATGCTCTGATTTCTCTCCATGGAGTGCCCTGTGCTCTGAGATTCTGGGAACAGCAGTTACGGCTGTAGCTGTGCTCTAGCGGCATGACCATACCTGCCCTCATTCCTCACCTTCACTCCCTTCCTGGGCACCCGCTGGTAGTCCCGCTCAACCTTCTTCCTGGCTTCTAAGTAGAGGCTGTGTCCCCCAGGAACAGAGAAGGCTCCACGAGAGATGCTCTCCATCAGGGTCTTTGAAAGCTTCTCTAGCTCAGCCTGGCAGTGACTGAGAGACGCTGCTTCGTTCTGTTGCATAAAAGCTTTCTTCCTTTCCTCTATGGTGGCCTGCCGGGTGAGTAGGGGAAGACAAGACAAGTAGGCTGTTAGAAGGAAGGTGCCATTGTGATCATCCTGCTTGATCCCCTGTGACAGCCCCAGAGTGGACTGGGACAGGAAGAGGATCAGGGGACATCCTTTATCGCTGCTGTGGTCAACTATGAGTGACTTCTAACTCTCTTGGCCTCAAGCTCAATAGCTACGAAAGTGAGGTGAGAGTGGGCATGAAATCCAAATTCTTCCAGTCTCTAGGATGAAAGAGTTCCCACAGACCAATAATGAGTACAAAGGTCAACCAGGAGGGGGTACAGCTTCCTCGGGGAACGTGTTTGGTGTGGGTGAGAATATCTGCACACAAATCCACCTGTCAGTTCTGAGATGCTTCATCATGGATAGAGTGGTGAGTGCCTCATGGGTCCTTCAAAGAGAGTGAAGGGTGTGAAGTTAGAGGATGAAAATGTTAAAGTGGATACTTGTAAGCTACAAATGGACACTTTTCTTCAGTATGAAATAATGCATTTTTTCACTTGTAAGATGGTAATAGAAAGACTGAAAGACAGACTTTCAGTGACATTACCTCTCATTAGAATTAAGAGGAAGACACTAGAGTTCTTTTCTTTGGTGTCTTTGTACCATAGCATCCCCCAAAACAATGGTTCCCATCCTCGTAATACTGTGATCCTTTAATACAGTTTCTTATGCTGTGGTGACCCTTAACCATAGAGTTATTTTTTGTTGCTCCTTCATAACTGCAATTTTGCTACTGTTATGAATAGTAATATGAATATCTGATGTGCAGATATGTAATAGGCAACCCCTGTGAAAGGGCTGTTTACCCCCCGACGGTGTCTTACCACACAGGTTGAGAATCAGTGCCATTAAATAACATCAGTGCCATATGTTCATTGTCTCGTAAACTCTTCCTGACTTGAAGGCATGGAGCTTATTTAATTACAGTGGTCCTTTAAGATCAGTTTCTATAACTGATTGTAGATAAGGTAAACCAGAGAGATGAGAGACAAGGAAAAATACTATATCTGAGTTCTGGAAAGTGAGGAAGAACTTTTGAAAGCAAGGAAGAAATCTGTGTGAGTTATTCTAGAAAACAAGAAAGAACTCTGCGTGGAAACCTGTTATTTCCTTGGATTCAGGTTCATAGCACACAAGAGGGTTTAGTGGCAGTGGACTCTGTTGCTGTTGGCTCACTAAGATGCAGTCTTCTGTGCATCCATAATGAGTTCAAAATACAATTATCCTGGACACAGCTTCTTTGGAAAATGTGCCTTGGGTGTGTGTGTGTGTGTGTGTGTGTGTGTGTGTGTGTGTGTGTGAAAATATCTGCACCTTAAATCCACCTCTCAGTTCTGAGTGGGTTTCCGGTAAGCATAGAATTCAGTGCTTCATGAATTCTTTTAGTGAGAGTGGTGGGTGTGAAGTCAGGTGACCTCACTGTTTTAAAGTTCACATCCATATATACATTATTACAATTTATATACATGAATTACAATTTAGCTGTTTCGCTTTCTATGGATTATGACAGCATCCTTGGTCATCACTCTGGTGCTGCATCTCTGATCATCATGCTACTCCCACAGAAGCTTCCTCACTCAGCATCTACATCATGCATCACTCTAGAATAAGATGCATATTAACCCTGTGACAATATCAGCACAGACAATATTACAGCACAGACTGACTTCCATAAATGGGGCTTACTGACCAAGGAGGACAGTCATAACCTACAGAGCTTCAGTGTGTTGACTCCCTGAAACAGACGTGAACACATTAGGTTATAGTGACATTATAGAGAAATCACAACTGGTCAGCTCTGAGACAGACAGATATCATATCATTGTCTGGAAAACTGATGTAGAAGTAAATATTTTACATGTTTTTCATGTTTAAACTTTGTCAGATGGTAAAAAAAAAAAAAAAAAGATGGTTACTTAGCCATAGGAACCTCCCAACGTCACTTTTCTACAGTTGATTACAGACAAGGAAAACCACGGAGATGAGAAACAAGGAAAGGACAGAATGCCAGATGGCACGCTAAAGACAGAGGAGATTGTCAGGGCCTCTAGACAAGAGGCAGGATTTAAGGTTGGGATGCACTGAGCAGAGGCACGTTACACCCAGTGCTATACCTGACTTGAGGAACTGCGACTTACAAATATATGTTATTAAAGACCCAAAGCACATCCCAACTTATTCTAGAGCAATGAACATGAAGTTGGGCTAGAGAGATGGCTCAGTAGTCAAGGGCAGTGACTGCTCTTCCAACAGACCAAGTTCCCAGCACCCACATGGCAGCTCACAACCAGCTTTAATTCCACATACAAGAGATCCAATGCACCCTTCTAGCCTTCATGGGCACTGCCTACCTATGGTACAAAAACACACAATAGCAACACACACAGTTTTTAAAGAATTATTGAAAACAAAAAGCATCTAACAGAGAAAAGGGTAGAATTGTGCTAAAGAACCCATTACCCATAAGAACCCGGGCACCTTCCACGATAAGAAGGATGCTACTTAGAATCAAAATGCAGTCAGAGTCATATGGCAGAAGAGCAGGCATCAGCAGCAATTAGGATAAGGTATATCACCACAAGCTTCTTCTGGAAGGTCCACTGGTCGTCCTTGAAGGAGTGCTCCATGAAGACAGCGATGGCTTCCTTCTCGCAGGCTGCGTGCACATTCAGCAGCTCCCGGAGCGTGTCCGTGGGGAGCCTCACTCGCTGGGCCATCTGCTCACTGTAGTGGTCAGCTGCCTTCTGCACAGCTATGGAGTTCTCACGCTCAGCCAGGGTCCTCACTGCATTCTCCAAGCAAGGTACTGCCCCGCTGTTGATGGCGTCCACGTAGGTCTGCACCAGAGTCCCCAGTCCTAACCAGACATCATGTTTAGGACACACTGGAAATTTTTCACTCCCTATTTTACACGATGTGGTGGCCTACATTCTCAAAAACCCCATCACACTGAAAACAAACTTCTCTCCCCTCCCCCCCTCATTGTCCTCCTTGTCCCTATCTTCTTCCCACTTTTATGAACCCATTTTCATATAAAAATCACAATTGTTTTTCCTAGTCATTTCATTTCATTATTCTTCACCAGACCGCAAAAATTAAATCCATGTCTAAAGCAGTGTGTTCAAAGAATTCCTAGAACACTGTCCCATCAAAACGAACGGAGTGCCTCTTACACGGAATAAATGCTTTATTTTCTGAGCTCCATTTGCTAACAGTAATGTAGAGCTATTGTCCAAGAAGGTCAGGGGTTTCAAGGCTGTGCGACAGAGGTTAGCGCAGGCTACTGCAGAGGTCCCATGTCCACAAAGCCAGCTCCGTACAGAAGGTTACATTCAAATGGTTTCTCCTCATTCATTAACCATGCACAGCACTCATGGCTTGCTGTTTCTATTATTCTCGTAAATTAACTAAAATCTTTGGTTGAGTGAAGTGAAGGACTGTGCTACTGGGGATCGAACCTACAACCCGATATGACACGCACAGCTCTGTTTTGTATCTATC